CCCCAAAACCCCAAAACCCCAAAACCCCAAAACCCCATTTTGGTCTTTTTTCTATCAAAATTATTTTAATCATTTTCTTTGTTAACTACAGTTCTCCAAAATTATTAGCATACCTTATTCGTAACTCTGGTAGTACTTGTACGTAGGATAACATTTAGCCCTGGTCTTTGACTCAGTCGGTCCGAGTTCCTTTAAAATGGTCCCCATTTTTCTAATGTTCCTTAGATGTTGTCTATACTCAGGATTTTCTTTCCTCAGGAGAGCTAAAGAGTACTTAGAGTCGAATAGAGGATCTGCTTCTTCTTTCCGCTTGATGTCTTTCTCTCTGTTCTCAATGTACTTGAAAGAATTTCTTATGATTCTTTGAATTTTAGTGAAATTCTTTAGGATTTCATATCTTTGTTTGGATTTTTGTTCTCCAGATCGGAATGTCTCAAAGTTGTTTGAGGAATTCAGATATACTTGGGAGGTGTCATACGATGTTGTACTATCATTATATTCTAAACTGCTCTGGACTCTTTGATGAGAACGGACATGGTCTAATAAATTAGGTAGAAAATTACCTCCTTTTCTTAGAAATTTAGAATCGATCATACTTGAACTATTTTTCGGTTCTCTTAAGTATCGAGCTTTCACCTTAGATTTCTTTGCAGCTAATGTTTTCGAAAGACTTTTATTTCATATCGGAATTTTCTTTAAATTTATCTTTCTCCTAACTTTATCCTTATTCACCAAAACTCTTGGCTTAAGGCACTTATCAAGGCTTTTAGGAGCATTATCTTGCTGGAAAGTATCATTATATCTCCTTGTCTGCTTATTTCCTCAACATTGGGAACCGACTAAGGACGTTACTATTCCCTCTGCTCCTAACTTCCCTTTCTTCCTCACTATCTGGCTCTCTCCAGATTTCTCTCCTTCTATCAACTGTCCTGAAATGTTTTCCGAACTTATTGATCTGTCCGAAGTATTCACTATCTCTGAAAACAGTTTTGTTGGGGCTCTGACCGTGATTATACATTTCAATAAATTTTATTTGCAAAGGGGTTTTGGGGTTTTGGGGTTTTGGGGTTTTGGGG